GGCAGAGAATGGAGGGTCACGTCATAGTATTCTCCTAGGCTATCTGGCCATTGCATCTTAATATTATCTTAGGCTATCTTTGCCATGAATGGAGGGTTGCACCATAATGTTCTCTAAGGCTATCTTGGCCATGAATAGAGGGTCACGTCATAGTATTCTCCTAGGCTATCTGGCCATTGCATCATAATATTATCTTAGGCTATCTTAGCCATGGATGGAGGGTCGCACCATAACATTCTCTTAGGCTAAAGTAGCCATGAATGAAGAGTTGTATCATGATCTTGACCATGAATTGAATGTCGCATTCGCATCAAATACCATACGACCTAACAGATTATGGAACATAACAATACAAAACATCAGACATGTGAAAATACTTTTTTTTTTATCATTCATTGACAGGAAGCCTGGAGGGTAGGGTGGTGCTGTAATTCTCAATCAAATTGATGGAAGCAAAAGAAACTACAGATAATTGCCAATCTCAATTTAACTGTAACTAGACAAAAATTGATGCATTTAAATTTTTATTAAAACTTTATTATGAATACTTTGACATTTACACTTTTTTTGTAATTGATAACAAATGTCACTGTTTTTAGATTAAAATATGTACATTGTTCATTCTTCATTATATCAAACTTGCATCATATACAGTTAATCTTTTTTCTATACATACTTCAAACAATTACAATAAGAAAAAAAAACCTTAATGATGTGAACGGTATATGCATTATGTGATGTAGGAAAGTCTTGTAACATCAGAAAAACAACTTCTTGAGAAATATTCAATTTAAATTACTAAACCAGAAGACAAAATATACACCAGTTTTACAAGATTTCATTTTTTTCTCCATGCATAAGGATCATAGTTTATGGTTTTCTCCATTCGAAATGTGCAAGCTCATAGATATTGTCACAGAATGCGATGTAATTGACATCATCCTTATCGCCGATCTTCACGTCATATTTTTTGTAAAGAATTTGGAACTCTCTCTCATTAACCATGGAGCTGAGTTCTAGTTCGGTGAGAACTCTGCGGAACTGGGATCTTGACACGGTACCATTGTGCACTCTGTCGTAGTCTTCAAATAGAGGGAAAAGCTGCATGCGCCTCATACGTACCTAATGATGAGAGCAATTAAAAAGTGATTAGACAAGAACAATACTTTTGTTTAAGGGGTGTATCATTATTTTTACTCAGGGTGGCTGGGTGTGAATTATCTTACATTACAGCACTTGCTGTCACTTTGTTAAAAACAGCATGTACAATAGGGGCAGATATGTTTATTTGCTCCAAAAACATCTTTTTTTAATCTCGCAGAAATTTGTTTCACCTCTCAAATTTCAACCTTAAAATTGATTAATAACTGAAGTAACAGTGTACTAAAGACTATGGATTAAAACAGGGTAAGAGGAAAATAAAAAATCGAGCATGCTATATATACTGTATATATTGTTGGTGAGATTTTTATTTACAGGTTTCTAACATGTTTATGATCATTAATATTCATGAGTGACCAACATTCCCATGGGTGAGATTCTTGTCACAGACATAAGTTAACCTTTCAGAATTTCACTATTACCATAACCTCACCACAAGTAAGTATGTTTATATTAACAGTATCAGAGGAAATTCCAAAACAGAAGTTAAAATTAAATCTGTACAAGACTCTTGCAATCTACAAGGAAATGTTATGATATGACACATACGATCTGATTCATGGAAATAGCCCAGCCATTTTAGAATAAATATCACACTCTAACCTTCTCAGACAATTTTTCCATTGTTTTATTGTAGACTGGTTCCTCTACATCAGTGAGCACATTCTGGTCAATCTCAATGGGAACTGAGAACTGCTTCGGCGTGACCAGCGGATCTTTTTCTAGATTCTTTATCGTAAAGATGCTTTCAATTTCATCGTTGAATAGCAAATATTCAACATAACCTGGATCTCTCTGTGATTCAAATCTACAGAAAAAAAACACAAAAAAAACAGAATTACTTTTGTGTCAATCTTTCAGAAATGGCTAGATTTTTGAAAAAAAATGTAGGGAATTAATGTAGATATAAATATTACATGTAAAGCCAAGTCTCCCACATAACCTCACAAACAATATGGATTCCAAAAACAGAGTTCAACATAAGTTTTTTTTTTCTTTAAGAATCTTTTGACTTATTAATTTACTCATAGTGTTAACCTACTCTGGCAGCCAATTTAATTGAAAATTGGTTAAAGCGGGAGGGTCGTCATCTGCACACGTGCAGGATCTGAGTCCCAAGCGAGATAACACACGCTAAAAATGCAGACTCATGGAGACTTGTTTGTAAACAATGACACGCTATGGCCATCTGAGCATGCACAGGTGACGACTCTCTCGCTTTAAATACCGGTAATAATATACTTTTATGTTTCATTCAAAAAATTCGTTATGGTACTCAGTTATAGACAATAATTTAGCCAAGTTACAGGATATTCTTGGCTCAAAAGTGTGTTAGCCACTCCCATGTATGCGTACTTCTAGTTTGTCTATTTCACTTTCTGTGGATAAAATCTCCAGACATGCACAACTCAAGTATTCATAATAAATCACTACTGTAATATTCATAGTTACATGTGGCTATGTACCAACCTAAAAGTCAATTTAAAGCGACTTGATGGGAGCTGCTTACAAGGGGCCTTTAAAACTACAAATGCAACAATTACCATAAATGACGCAGAGGTTGACTTACGCATTTTCCAATATAGACACTTCCGAACCTTTGAGGCCGAGATTGGCTGGATCCAACGCACGACGGAACGTCTCTTTCTTCATGCGACCAGTACGTAGTTTGTCATAATCGCGCAGGAATTCCAAAATACGAATTCTTTTTTTCATCACCTGTGACATCAGTGAAAGCGAGTTGCATTAGAATACATAATATAAATAAAAGTAAATAAATTTATGTCTGGCACCCTCTAGTGGCAGAGTTGTTTCCTTCTTGGCGCAGAAAATGTATTTTTGGGTTATTACCTCAAAACACTGAATTATCACAGATTATAAAATTGTGAAAATCTTCTTGGCCAATTCAGACAGTTTGAACAAATTTTATTTTGTAAATTTTCTATATGAACATTTTACTGGGTTTGATTAAAAATAATGAAAATAAATCATATACTGTTAAATACTTGCTTACTCGCTTGGAATTAATTTTCGCTGAAGAAATGCAGTGATTCAGTGAAAATAAAATCCAGCGAATATACTTTTTTTCCTATATTTTACATTCAACTTACCAAAAATCAGTGAAAAAAAATTCCATACAAAACACCCAAAATGTTTTTTCAGCAAAACTAATTACAGCTAAAATAAAGTATTTACAGTAGTATGGAACCATAAAATGTAATACGCAGTCACCATGCTGTGTTGTAATCAGTATGAGTCCCATGTAACATACTAGTATACAACGCATGAGATGTACATCGTTTGTGTAGACAACATATGCTGTATGATTGTGGCACTTAACAGAAAGTGGAGAAAGTTTATTGATAAAATATTCATAATTGATTCAATTTCAATCTCACTTTTGTTTCAGTGACTGACCTGTGATTTGATTTTTGTGAGGACTGCGTCAAGATCTGTACATGAATTCTTTTCCAATGAAAACACACGATTGTTAACAAGCTCCAACTCCTTCAACCGAGTCTGGTATTTCATTTCTGGCTTCTCTGACGGCTGGAGATCTTCTAGAAATCGGAGATAGTTAAACCCAGCCTGGTCGAAATATTTTTTCTGTAACACTGCAGCCTCTTGCTCGGTAGCTGACAAACTGAGATACGTCAGACACTGGCGGAACTGTGACCCGGTGACGTAACCACGGTTATGGCGGTCAAAATCTTGAAAACATGGTTTCGCAAGTACCCTCCTCTGCATGGCACGTTGGCGCATGCGGTCCATTACAGCCTCAACGAGCTGGTTTTCTTCATCAGTCACCCTCCGCCAGTCCAAAGTACCTGGTTTTGACACCATGAAGCTCTCTGGCGATGGCACTTGCACGGTTGGGGTCTTTTCTAGGTTTGGTTTCACCTGGGTAAAAACTGAAAACAAAACATTGTAACCTATATGACAAGGGAAATATCTTTTTTTGCCTGAATAGAGGCCGAATACCCAGAACAAATATAATCAATCACATACAAAATGTATGGAACGCATGAACAAAATTGCACAAATATTTTGGGGGCAAAAGGTTGATAACAAAATCAACACTGAAATAGGCATGTGTTTTAAAATCACCAAAATACATGTTTGTTTCATTGTATTTAAGTGCAACATATACTTAGAACTACTCAGAGCTATGCCAATAAGGGCAATAAATAGAAATCAACTCACCTGTTTCAATTTCAACCATGAAATCCTGCCAAAGGACGTTACCAGGTTTGTTGGGATCAGAGTAGTGATAAGCCAATGCCAGGAAGTCAGAGTCGGTCAGGTTCAGTTGTCCAATAGCGCTGAGACCCATGGCGCTGAGACCCATGCGGAAACGAGTTTGAGAGATGGATCCAGTACGCAGCTGATCAAAGTCTTGGAAATATTCATTCACCTATCAGAAAATAATAAACTGAATTAGATATTTTGACATGGAAAGGTAACCATATTTGTGGCCATCATTAGTTTGTTTGCATTCAACCAAAACATGGTACTGGTAGTCATGGTGATATGTCAGCTGTCATCATGGCTTCATGATTTTTTTCATTTTTTCACAGTTCGACAACCACGGTTTTGATATGAAATATTACAAACCAGCTGTCAGGTACTGTAGAATTTGGGGTCTATCTTTTACATACTAAAATTATGGATATATTATAGATATCATGGATAAAAAACGTATTTAATAAAGGTTTTTTTTTAACTGTTACATGCACAGAATAAATGTAACTTTGCGTTAATTACAGAAAATTTGACCTAAACATTTAAACTTCAGCAGTGTAATACTAATAACAGGAAATACTAGTAACTTTGTTCCAACATGCCAAGATTAATTCTTGTTTTTAATGACCTACAGTAATTAATAAACAAGGGCTGGCATATCTTTAAATACTTAATAATGAATCTCGGTCAGTTGAATTAATATAATATAATATACAAGTACAAAATTTACATATTGATTTTCACAAGCAAATATTATTATGCTTTATGCTCAATCAAAGACATAGACATCCACCAGAACATTACACTTACCCTAATTCTATTGACGAGTACGTGGTGTCGTATTTTACCAGTGAGTTCGGGAATGCTGATTTTACTTATATCGACAGGTTTCATGTTGATAGGCGTCTTGGGTCGTTCAGCTAGCTTTGGTGCATCATTCGAGTCGATGGTGAAACCAACAAACTCTACGAAGAGTGAGACAAGGGTGACAAGATTAAAATAAGCACACATTCTGGGAAATCATTTGCATTTTTGTATAATTTATGTAGTTTGAACCAAACTAAAATATTGCTCTACTGAGAATGTTACTCCACATATATGCAATGCATTATGGGAGAAAACTTCCCATTGTATATAATGGAAATCATATTGGAAACTCGCTAAATTATGTAAATTTTTTGACATTTTTAAAAATACTGGGATTCGTAAAAATAATAATATATGATTTTTTCATTCCATTTCACCAAACCAAATTTTGAAATATGAAGAAATAACTTCACTATAGGCATCAGAGCAAATATGCTACTTTTGACAATTTTCCTTGACATTTCAGACATTTCCAGTGACACCAATTTGTTTTTTCAATTTTGGTATCCTGATGGCATTACTCATAACAATGAAAATAAGACAAAAATTACTTATTTTCTAAAATTAGACTCAAGTTTTATGGTAACGGTAACAGGTCATTTATATATTGTTCATGGTAGATCTTTGTAGTGTTTTGGGGAGATGCAGCAACTCCTTAGTAGTCAAAACAATCTTTCCTGACACTTTGCAAAATCAAAGCAGTAGTTCATCAACCCAAGAACTCACCTCTGTCCACAGCCTGCACAAAAGCTGGATAGTTGACGTCACCGCGACGTTCAGGGTCCTCAAATTTACGACACAGTAGTTTGAAATCTTCACTCTGAACGTGGAGACTCAAGAAGTGAAGAATACGACCAAACTGAGCGAACGTGATGTTTCTGGTATACGCCTTGCTCTGTGGTAAACAAGATACATATAATGTATTATTATCAGGATTCAGTTAGAGAAAAAAGTACATTTTGACTTATATATTACTGATCTTATTTGATAGCGAATTACAGCGGTTCTGAGAATTATTCAAACAGTCAGTCAGTCAGCAAGCTGGCTTGCACCTTTGCGAAACACTTGGCTTTTGCTTGAAAGCTCTGTTTGACTGATATTCAATAACTAGCCGTGAATGTCTACAGTGCATGTGATTCAAGAATGAAAAAACAAATCAAAATAACATGTTCTTATATTCTTATGAATGCACATCATTTTGAAAAACTACACTTAAGCCACGTTTACTTCGATAATGGACTGTACGTGTGTCGATTGAACGGCACCATCTAGATTGAGAAGAAGTTGCAAGTCATCATGCTAATTGATTGTCCGAATAATTCTCAGAACCGCTGTAACTCAAGGTTGAGCAACTAAAGTGAAACTTTCTGGTGAAATAAAAAACAAAAACATTTATTTCTCTCAGGTGAAGCACAGTTTGACATACCCTATCATAGTCTTTGAAATAAGCATACATCATAAGTCGTCGCTTTTGGCAAGTTTCTGACATCTCTTGTAAAATGACGGCCACCCTCGCCTCCTCCTCATCATTCAATGGATTGAGATATCTTGATAACGCTCCTTTAGCTGGTCTCTGCACGTCAAGAGTTGGGTTTTTTTCTAGACCAGGCTCGTTGAAAGCTATAATAAAGAATAAAAATAATTAGTTATTTGTACTGGGAGTATTGCTGATAGATGGTGAAGCAAGTAAATAACACAGAATACGTAGCAATTTAGGTAAATACTACCCTATGTAAATAAAAGTAAACAAGTTCACGTATGCCAGCAAAAGCCGAGCTACATGTCAAACTTTCCCTTGGCTACTAGGTAATAATTTCAATGACCTCTTTGAATGCTATTTTTCCTATCAGCATTTTGATCCAACATTTGCACAATTATGTAGGTTAATTTTAACTTTTTTAAAAAAGATGAATTAAATGAGTTAGTTGGATCCATAACATTACATAAATCTTGTGGTTCAGCGAGAAAGAGTAATCGATGCAACCCTGAGAAAAAAAGCCAATTATACAAGCTTAAATTGGACAAGCCGACATGCAGGAAATGGAGTAAGGAAATTCCGACAACAGCCATTTGATTTAATCACGGAGAAAACACAGGCCTGCACTTTGAAAAAAAAAATGTTCTGTGTTTGGATTATCTGACCATGAAACAAAAATACCTGTAATCTAATTCCTTTTTAATGAAATCAGAATGGCTGTGGCAGAGATCGATTTAATAGGATGGCAATGACAGGTCGTAATGCGATTATGGATGAACTCTCTTATCTTGATTTACGATTGCGACTATTTGCTTTGAATATCAGTGTGACACAAAATGAGAACACAGTCCTGAGTGAGTCACTGAATGGTAAACAGTTATGGAGAAAAACTAATCGTCAGTTGTAACATCTGATCACCAACTTTTGTTGCTTTTCAAAAAATAAACCATTTTTTCCATATTTAAAAAAAAAGTTGATCAAGATGTATAACTGATGAGGAATTATGTAAATTTTGCCAAAAAAAATGTAGTTTTCCAAAACTTCAGTAGAAAGTTGCTCATGTTCTTCATATTCAAAATTCATCAATAGACGATTTATTTAAGTGAAATTCTACAAAATAGAAAATAGTATCATAATGGACATATAAATAACCCCACTAAATTCTGGAATTACTAAGGAACACCCCTTATGAAATTTAATGCAAGGATTAGGTCAATGACCCCATCGTGCATCTTGCCACAAGAGTGCACTGGTAATTTAATTGAGGAGTAAATTGAAATTCATTGTAGAATTTTTTTTTTTACTAATATGACTTGAAAACTTACAACACTACTATTTCAGGACAAATTTACACATATTCTCTCTTCATATATTCATACATTTCTTAAATTTTAATGAATTTTGAGTAATTGGCCAGAACTTTTTACCGCAGTGGGTTTTGAGGTTTGCATACAGGTAATAACATAAAAGTTTTAAAGTAAGTGGCACCTTAAAGGGGAGCAGAGCTGTGGCTTTTGACACTTAGTTTTTAACTCATACAATATTTATTCACTCACTGTTTACTATAGCCAGAACGCTGTACGGTCTTCACTTTC